ACTGAGCATCAACGTATACCAGACACCAACGCAGCCGGGGGGAAACCATACGAAATGAAAACCAGTAAGATTGGTCTAGCGCAGACGCACATGAACAGCAATGAAGGGGATCGCCATTCCGATACAAATGCAGACGCCGGCAACGACTCAGCAACCACCCATAAGGTGCGCATGGACAGATGCAAACGGGAGACGACAACGAGAGATGCGGGTCTGGGGCGACAAACGCGATCAACGACCGTTGTCATCCTGGCACCGCTCCCCGACGAGGCGGAGGAGAAAAGCGCTGACCAGCAGGACGGCTGTTAACCCCCTTGCAGTGCGTACTGCACGAACAGCCGTAGATTCCACAGAACGTCAACACATTCGACACCCACAAATACTTTGAGGCGCCGTACAGAATTCACCTCCAACGACGGAAGTTCATTTGCTTTTAAAAGGTCGGGATATTAAACATAATACTCCCCTAATTGTCTCGTCTTCTTACCTTCGCTTTAATAAGCTCGTCAGTTCCAGTCGAGCATCAGCAGAAAAACATGGAGGAAAGCAGCACGCGAATTGTACAATGAATATGATTTTATATGTGTGTAGAAAGAGGACAAAAATGTTGGCTAGAGGGTGATGCAGAAGAGGAGATCCCAACACCAGAAATATGAACGAACCTGACTGCGTCATGTCTATTGTAGTGTCACTCTGTTGAACGCAGGCGTCAGCGGAATAGATGAGGCTGCAACCCAAGGACGCTGAGGAATCAGCAACGGCATTGTTGGCGTGTTTTGGAGACACGGAGTTCCCGGAAGAGACAAATCTCCCCGAATGCACCTGAAGTTTAAAAGAAAATCATTCAGTGGTAGCAAAATGTATGGCCGCAAAATGCAAATTCGAGGATACGCTGGATTATTTTAAAATGTGTCGGTGTGTTACAGTTAACAACTACTTTGATGAGGGGAAAAGGGCAGAAAACAGACAAACATAAGTGAAGACTTGCTGTGCTGATGGCAACACACAGTCGATACGCCAGAGGGTTGGCATGCGCAATGTAGTTTGCGAAGGTAAACAGCCCGTCCACGCATGCCACACGTGAAAAGGTCCCTAATTCACGTGCCTGATTTAATTCAGAAGGTGACGAGGTCATAACGGTCACATCAAGGAACCGTTGTGCCGAGCTTACGGTCCTATCAGGGATTGAGATTCTAGGGCAGGTGTGATTTCTCAAGTCACAAATGATAGTGCCAGACCGAGTATGTATTGAATAAGGCGCGAATTGACCGTAAACATGGAACCTCAGTGTTGGCTACACACTCATTAGCCTCTCTCGTCCACTGATGACTGCTCAAAGTAGGAATCAAATCACTTGACACACCGGCGCTCTTAAAAAACGTGACGAAGACTCTAATCACTTAAGGCGGCGAAAGTATCTACATCCTATGTAAAGACAGTTGTGCGCAAAACAGACCCAATCGAGGGGAATTTGTGCAAACAGACGGTGGAGATGGGTGTCCGGCGTTTTTTTGCGATTAACGGCTAGCGATCGAGTTTGATTCGTCCAAGCTGATACAAGAAGCCAGCATCAGAGAGGGGAAGAAATAAAAAGCAAGCGCTTGGTATTTTTTCTTGCCTCGCCCAGTACCAGCCATACGCAAAATTCCCTACGAGGCCGGTGAATCGGTACTGCGGTTCAGCTACCTGGTAGTTCTTTCACACAAATGGTAAGGGGGCGCGCTCACCGATCGCGGAACGGGTTACTCCCCTGGCAGGCGTTATTA